CTAATCTATCTAGAAATTACCAAGAATTTTCAGTGTCTACTGGGACAGAGGTTTATTTTGTAAAACTCAATCCACAGCAAGTTACTGCTTCCAGAGATTCAAGTATCATATTTCAGAATCTGCTATACCTGTGTGCATCTTTTTTGCATTCTCCTTGCAATTCAGAGGAATTTGTCACTCTAGTTCACTTGTTGCTTTTGTTAACATAGTTTTTGTGGTTTTCTAGTAAGAGACTAAATAATCTGATTATGGACATGCAGCCTTTTTTTCACTTAGTGCACACTCTGTTGTGTGCTGCCTCTTTCTGGCTGAAAAAGACAAAATTGAGGATTCCTCTGCTACCATTCCAGGTTCCTTTTTCTGTATGTTGTCCTTTACCATATAGTTTTTAAGAGCAGTTTTTGAATGCCCATTGTAAATAGGAAATTCCAAATGCAGAAGCAACACAGTCTGATAGAAATAAGAAGAATTGCTTTAAATTAAAAGAGGAAAATTTTAGGTTAGATGTTAGGAGGAAATTCTTTACTCATAGGGTGGTGAGGCGCTGGCACAGCTGCCCAGAGAAGCTGCAGTGCCCCATTCCTGGAGGCTCAAGACCAGGCTGGATGGGGCCCTGGGCAGCCTGAGCTGGTGGGGGGCAGCCCTGCCCATGGCAGGGGTTGGGGATGGCTGGACTTTGAGGTCACTTTCCAACCCAAACCATTCTGTGGTTCTGTGAAGTTAGATGGCTACTTCATAACAGCAGATGGACTGTATTCACTATAGCTGAAGACATTTCAAACAAATAGCTGGATATGAAGATTAAATTGCTGCATCCATCTAAAAGAGTTCATAGCAAATTACTTACAGTCATTTCAACTGTACTTTTGCTGACTCCAAGAGCTTTAACCCACAAAGCAGGATAACATCTTGAGGTGGCTGTGCATCAATAAAGAGATATAAACTTGTGAAACCTGATTTTCATTTCATGGACCCATCTGTTGGCTAGTGAAGCCATCACTTTCTTTGGCTTTGATGATTTTTTTGCGTGCCAACATACTGTCTCTACCTCAAAGAAGTCTTAAGGATATCAGTAATACCTCTGCAAGTCATTCTGGCATCTGACTTCATTTCATACCAGAACTACTGAGGTAATGTTAGTAATACAAGTACTGATGATTTACTTAAGTAGCAATTGGTAAAGTCAAAAAAGCAGGGATTTGGAGGACCTCCTAGTTGTGGTGGGTTAAACATTGCCAGGTTAAACTGTATACACCGACTTACATTTGGGAATGAACAAGGCTATAGAACTTCTGCATGCTGAAGGCAAAAAATGAAAAATCCCCAGCAAATGTCATCATTTCTCTCAGGAAGCAGAGAAAACAGTCACAGAAAAGATAGAACAGAAGCATCCTGTCACTCTGTAAATAAATCCACAGTGATATGCATTTATCTGGGTGGATGGAAGGAGAAAGGCACTCCTAGCACTGCTTGCATTCCTGCTTAAGAGCTGCAGTAGCAGTCACACAACTGCTGAAATCTTCTCCACTTAAGCTGCAGTTACACATGGGAACATGGAGAAGTGATGAAAAATCTCTCAGCTCTAGTAGAAAAAATAAGCTTATTTTTTATTTTAAACAAAATTCCAGATACTAAAAGCTGTCTTTTGAGATAGTTGGTGTGTTCAGGCTTTTCACCTAAAATGTCAGTTTGAGATTTTTTGCTCTAATCTGTATAAATTTGCTCCGTGTGCTGACAGATACACCTGATCAAAGAGAAACTATTTCCTTTGTGTGGAAATACTGGACAATGGGCTGAACACATGAAAACATGCTTCCAGTTACTGCAAAGAAAGTACTGAGGGAAATCCTGAGGAGAATGACTTGGAGGTGTTGGATGTTGAGAAGCTCAACATGAGCCAGTAATGTGCACTTGCAGCCCAGAAAACCAATTGTATCCTGGGCTACATCAAAGGAAGTGTGACCAGCAGGGTGATGGAGGTAGTTGTCTCCCTCTTCTCTGTTTCCTCCAGGAGTACTGCATTCAGCTCTGGGGCTCCAGCATAAGCAAAATGAGAAATTGTTCATTGCAGGTCCAGAGGAGGGGAATGGGCTGTCCTGGGAAGTGGTTGAGTCACCATCCCTGGAAGTGTTCAAGAAACATTTAGATGTTGCACTGAGGGACATGGTTTAGTGCAGAAATATCTGTGGTAAGTGGACAGTTGGACTGGATGATCTTAGAGATCTTTTCTAATCGTGGTGATTCTCTGATTCTATGATGTTCAGAAGGCTGAAGCACTATGAAGACAGGCTGAGAAAGTTGGGATTATTTAGCCTAGAGGAGGCTCCGAAGAGCCTTCCATTATCTAGGGCCTATGGGAAAGACGGGAAGGAACTTTTTAAAAGAGCATGAGGTGATAGGACAATAGGTAACGGCTTTGACTGAAAGAGAGGAAATTTAGATTAACTATTAGAAATTCTTTACTATGTGGCTGGTGGAACAGGTTGCACAGAGAAGCTGTGGATGCCCACTCCCCAGAGGCCTTCAAAAGCCAGACTGGGTGGGGCTTTGGGTAACTTGGTCTGGTGGGAGGTGTCTCTGCCCACATCGGGGTGTAGGGTGGTCTTTAAGGTCTCTTCCAACCCCAAAATTATGTGATTCAATAAATTCTTGGACTGAGCATCCTGGTGGACACAAGCTCTGATGTTGTTGAAACAGATGTGTTCATCTATAGATGCGTGATAGTGATGGATATGTCAACTGTCATAACTTTCAGGGTCAACAGAATGAATCACTGCATTGCTCTGAATTTCGCCTTGGTCATCTACTGCAGCATACTGAAGGACACAAGTCTTCAGCTACTTTCTTGACGCTGACTGACTTATGAATTACACAGCCTTACTAGCAGCAACCTGCCATCTGCTCAGAGGTCTGAGTCCTGAAGCATGCCCCAGAGGCCTGCAGTTGGAAGCAACAATAGGCTTTTCCCAAATGTACGTAAGCTCAGTACCCAGGTACATTCACACAGTTGAGTGTATAATTGGAGTAACAGATGGGGTTTCTCAACTCATTAGGGAAACCAGTTCTGTGGCGGAATGAGAACAGATATAAGCAAAATTATTCTCCTTTAACTGGAGTCCTACTAGATGTTTCATGATAAATCCATGTAGAACACTCTTAAGAAATCCTAGGAAACATTCTCTCTGCTCTGAGAATGATGCATACTTTGCTACTGAGTCACAAATTTGGCAGTGCTTACGCTTGCGTGTGTTCTTTTAAAATTGTATTTTTGGTTGCTCATGATTAGTTTCTCTAGAATAATGTCACACTTCTCTGAGTTTTTACTTAAGAAGTGTGGTTGTAGCAGATATATCACAATTGTGGAAATCATATATTTCAGTATATTTCAGATAGGGAGGTGTTATCCTTCCTTGAAAAGGTGGGTTCCTAGCATGCTCCCTATTTCCATGCTTTCCTTGTTATTGCCAACTACTAGGGTAGATTTCCTTCTCTGGAACCCCACCTGTCATCAACTTTCAAACTAGTGTGTGCAGCTTAATAGGAAGAGTTGCTTTAATTATTGTGCAAATAAACACAGCATTCCAATATCTCTGTTCTGAGGACTGCTGAAATGGAACGTTCCAGTGTTAGCCAGTCACCTTAACACAACCCTTGATTCGAAAACGGTGAAGGAAAAAACAGGTAAAAATACTCAGTTGGCAAAGATAAAATTGAGTTTGCAAAAGCTTATGAGCACACACGGCAGCAGGAATAGAAAATTACACATCTAGCTTAAAAGGGCTTCTCCTCCAGTAAGTTGGTAAATATTTCTCAGCCTTGCTCTCTGAGAACTCTGTGGCTCAAGGAAGCTCTTCATCCTAATTAATAATATGGAAGAAGCCCAGTAGGAGAATCCCTTCTTTTCTCTAATTAGTGTTAATGAAACCAAGGGAGAAGCAATCTAGCACTTCTACCAAAAAAAAAAAGACCAAGCTTCCCCCTGTGGAAATAGTAATGATAGTCTCTAAGTCTGGGAAAGAAAATATGCTCTTCTGTTTAATAAAGAAAAACATTCCTTCCCACATTTTTTCTAAACAAGTTGATGACAGTCCCTTCACAGTGGTTTGGGAATTGTTCAGACTCCAAAGGGAAGCTTCTTCTTAAATTGTTTGTAATTCATATTAAAAAAGTATGCTTACATCATCTGGAATGTAAATGTAGCTAATGCCTATGGATCTTCAGAAGGTTTGAATAAAAGCAGAGGTGGGAATAGTCAACCACTTCAAGTACCCACCAGACACGTCTTTGAGGAGTGACCAAGAGTTGGAATCAAACTGAAGGAGGCAAAAGCAAATTCAGGGAGGAGAGGGCACTGAATTGAAGAGTAAGGGCAAGGAAGAAATTGAAGAGAAACTTCTCCTTCTCTGGAAAAATTTACATTTTTAAAAATGTTTGAATATGCTTAATGTCATCATTAAACCAATGAATGAGAACAGTTACCACTTAAATCCAGAAGGAAGAAACTACTGTTTGAACTGGAGAAGCCGACACCCCAACACAGAGGTAGAGACAGGTGGTCAAATGAGAGGACTTCTCAGACGGCAAGCAAACAAAGCTCCGAATAGCAAAGCTGAGCTACATCAGGTCACCACGGTTTAAGACAGTGGCTGCACAGAGCCCTCATTCCCTGAGGAATCCCAGGCAGAAGGTCCGTGCACTCAGGAGTGCTGTGCCCTTTTTACCACGGACACGACGCAGCTGGGCAGCTAGACCGGTGACCGGAGCAGGTCAGAAGATTTAGCGAGATCTTCCTGGTCACGGCTTGTCAGAAGCCCTGAGGGCAGCCCGAAGGAAAACACTCAGACCTGAAGCCAACACCTCCAGGCCCGGCGGTGTCACGCCGGCAAAGCCACTCAGCTCCGCAGCCCGTCAGTCCCGCACCCGCCGCGGGGCTCCGCCGGTCGAGAGGCGGCCTCTGGGCGGGGCGAAGCTCCGGTGCGCAGCCGGGCGGAGCAGGGGCTGCCGCCCGGTCGCGGTGCGGCAGGGGCCGGGGCGGCCGCGGGGGTTCGGGGCACGGACGGAGGTGAGGAAGGGCTGCGGCGTAGGGGGGGGGGTGCGGTGCCGCGGGCTGCCCAGGGTACGGCCGTTTGCTGGAGGGCTGCACGAGCAGGGAAGGCCTTTCTTTCCCTAGGGTCTCCCGCGTGCCCCGCGTTGTGCGGCGTGGGCTGGAGGCGGGGCGGGCTGATCCCGCGGCTCCTCGGCAGATAGGCTGAAGGCTGGGTGCCCTGCCGGAGAGCTTTCTGCTGCTTTCAGGAGCGCTGCGGGCTCTGCTACGCTTTGTTTGCCCAGTCCCACAAAATCTCTGCGCGTCTGCTGGTTTTCTAGTTTGTGACGCTTTTTTTTTTTTTTTTTAGGAGGTATTTTCCTTTGACTTCTTCACTATGTACGGGACTATCCAAACGCGGGTAGAAAGTGCGATATATAGAGGAAAAGTGTGGGATCTCACAGCTCAGCCACGCTTCTTTTAGAAGTTCTTAGAGCAGGAAGCAGGACAAAGCTGGGTGCAAATCTTGACGTAGTAAAACACTGCAGAAACGGCTTATTGCTTAACTGTGATCAAGCAAAGGCTTTTATAATTTGTTACTTCTGTGAAATCGAGAGCTTCTTGCCTCCTTCACGCTTTGGTGGGTGAAAGCAGTGCCCTGGCAGCTGCAGGACTCTGCAGCGGAGCCTGAGAGCAGCAGCCCTCACAGCCCCAGACCGTTCTGTGTGCCGTCACAGCGTGGTAGGACTGAATTAGCAGCTGTCAGCTCTTGAGCTGAAGAAATGTTTATGGTTCTTTCCAGAAGCGGCTCTTTAAGTTTGGGGAATTTCTTCAGGGATTTCTGGAAAATACTGTTTGTTGGCTTTGTTCTTCCTGAGCTTGGTAACTTCAGGCTTGTTTGACTTGGACCGCTTGTATGTGCTTAGACTCTCAAAATGCAACTTAGGGTTGCTAAATGAACACTCTTCTTTTATAGCAGTTGTGAAATCAGAAAGCATTAAAAACTGCAAAATTGACATAAGGCTTTGCACAAAAATTGTTTTATAATGCGATTCCCAATTTAGATAATTTTAAGCCAATCCCTAAAGGAGAAATAATACTTAAGTTCCTTTTTTAATAAACTTTCCACCCCCCCACCCCCCGAGAATAACACATTAATTTTTATATTATTCTGCATCCCTTATCTTCTATATTTATATTTTTATCTCTGTGAGCCTTTCTGGGCCACTTAAATCGCTCTTAACTGTTCTCTGAAATCAACAATGAAAAATTTGTAATTTACTCTGGATTTAAATATTTTCACATTGTTTTATATTGACAGGAGCTGAAATGATACAGAAAACTGTTAGAAGCTGCGACTGCAAAATGAGCTCCTTTTACTTGATGCTGAAAGGAGGTACTGTTTTCAGTTTCTTTGAATACTGATAAGATCTCTTCGTTCAAGGTGATTTGGATGCTCTCATTGACTCCAGCTTAATGTGCAGTGGAAATCTGTGCATAAGAATCTTTTGGTTGTGCTCAGATCCACTGATGGCTGGTTCTGTACACCTACAGATATCCATCTTTTCTTTTTTTCCTCATTCTCTCCCCCCTGTGTTGTGGTGAAAGGTGAGGCAGTATGTGCAATGAACATCTTGTTTAGAATCTAAATGTACAGTAGCTAGTGCTTTTCTCAGAGCTGAACAGGAAGTTGGCTTATAGGGATGTAACCACTTTGTAGGCATTCTTTGATTGAGGAAAAACATTCATTTGAATTAAACAAAATCTGCTGAGTAATGGTTTTATACTTACAGGCGTGGATTTTCTGCAGTATTGTAACTTGCAGAATTGTCTGAAAAGGAGGCAGTGAAGGAATAACATTTGTGGTCATCACTATAAACAACCAGACTACCACAGTGGCCACCCAGGTCCTTTTTCAGAGGGTGCTTGTGTATCTTTCTGTGTGACTGTTCAGGACAAGGGGAAATGGTTTCAGGACAATGAGAAATGGCTTTAAGCTGAGGGAGGGAAGATTTAGGTTGGACGTCAGGGGGAAGTTCTTTACAGAGAGAGTGGTGAGGTGCTGGGACAGGCTGCCCAGAGAGGTTGTGGATGCCCCATCCTGGAGGTGTTCAAGGCCAGGTTGGATGGGGCCCTGGCAGCCTGGTCTAGTATTAAGTGTGGAGGTTGGTGTCCCTGCCTGTGGCAGGGGTGTTGGAGCTTCATGATCTTTGAGGTCCCTTCCAACCCTGGCCATTCTGTGATTCTGCATGCCCCTGTACAATGATCAGCTACATTCTGCTTATATATTAAGCATCTTAGACAAAGGAGTTGGGACCTCAGGTAGAGTAGCCAGGTAACAAGATATTGGCTGGTAGAGAATCTGTCTCGCTTTGCTTAGAGACACAAACTGACAGGAGAATAATATGTGATCTGTATGAATTTCTGTAAGGGTTTAATCTTGTCTTGATGGCTGTACTTTGGACAAATACATAGGGTTTTTTGATTAATGTTTGTTTTCTCCCTTCTCACCACTGTTTCAATTAGACTTTTATTAAAACTTTATTGAAAAAGTTCACTCACTTAGATATGCTGCAAAATTAAGGCATTTTACACCTTCAGGCAGTTATGTTGTGTGCTGAGATGCTGATCAATTGCCTTAAATCACAATTTCTGTCTTTTTTCTTCATGACTTATAGACTAGGAGTGCCCCTAGCAGTAATAAGTCCTTGTAGGTAGTGATCAATACTGAAAGCCACTTAAATTAATAGCAAAGTGCTAATAATTGTAGGAATTAGATGCTTCCTAAGCTGTCTTGAACGTTTTGTCATTGTATTGGCCTTTGGAAGAAAATCTTCTTAAAATTTGGAAAATAAACATACAGTTTTATCTTTTGAAAAGTTTCCTGCAGGACAATTTTGCTTATCTTGCTACATGCAGACTTAGGAACCCGATGTCTTTAAAAGCTATTCTTACTGCATTTGGAGTTGGCATTGTGCCTAAGGCAAGTAAAAGGGAGGCTCTGTGAAGAGAGATGTCCTGTAAAAACAAAAAGTTAGGTCCACATATTTTCTGTTTTCAAGATGCTAATTTTAGAAAGTTGAGGAAGTAATAAGTTATATTTCATCTATGCGAAGATAGGAAAGTAACTCGGAAATCAAAACTTATCTTTTTCAGTAGATCAAACCACAAAGATGATTGGTGGGTGAGTGGGTGTTGTTTTTTTCTCCTTTATTCTTAAAGACTATGCGTACATGTTTCCTTTATGCTCAGTAAGTCTTGAACTGAAAGAGTTCTTCAAACTAAGTACGCAGGCAGTAAAGCTGGTGCTCTCTCTACGTAAGTGAGATTGAGTCTCTGCATCCCTATCACAGCAGCATGGCTTATTGCTGAGACTGAGTTAGAAGACAGTACAGGGTTAACCGATAGGTATGTGAGCAAACAACAGTTTTCTTTAAACAAAGTTTGCTATTTCACATCAGTGATTTTAGATCATGTTTCACTGTATATTCCGCTTGAGAAGGAATGTTTGTAAGAACCTTGTGTGTCACCTGAAACCATGCTAGCCAGAATAGAATAGCTCTGCATACTATTTGGTATTGCAACTACGAAAACTGTAGTCTTCTTTGCTTCTTTTCAGAATTTCAAAGATTTACTTTTGCAGTATTTGAACTGGTGGGGAGGGAGTTTGCAAAGAATAGAGCTACTTTAAAAGCTCAATCTCTAGCATAGAGTAATAGTAACTTGGTTATTCTTACCCTAATTTAGGCATCATTTCCTTTTAGTGGGCAAATTAGTCTTAAATAGTAGCTGGTTATGTCTGGCTTTGTTGCTCACGTTGACTCATATGTAATGTCATCTTCATTTTTTGGTGGAAAAAATATTCCCCAGAGATCTTTCATAGAATTTTTGGTCAATCTTTACTGCGGGTTTTGTTGGTGCTCTTTTGTGTCTCCATTGCAGACACAGTGAAGTAGTTGCTTTTATATTTAGGATGTCTGTAGAAGAAGACTGGCTCTGTATGTGCCTACTGTTGTCCAAATCATGTGTTTCATACAATCCCTTTTTTCCCCTCTCATTTTTACAGGTAAACCAAAGCTGCAAGAATTATGATCAGCTCTTTGACAAGTGACAGGAAAACCACATACAAGGCAACTAAATAAAGGCTATGGTATGAGTGCTTTTTCAGATATATTGTCCAAAACAAGTAAATACTTGGAAACAGTTATATTCCAATGTTGCACTCTGCTCCATGTGTCCTATCCTACTGCCTCAGCAACTCTGGGTGAAACAATGTTCTGAAACAAGTAGCTAACATGGCTTATTTGCTGCTATGATGAACTACAGTGGGCATAAAAGTAATTCAAGGCAGTGTGTATTTTTCAGAGAATGTCTTCTCTTTTTCCAAGCCGGTTCTAGCTGAGTAGAAAACTGGCACCTGTGTTCATTACAGTTTGCAATATCTGTTACATGGGAAACCAGATTATTTTAATGCTAGAGGGAACAGTGTGCAGTATAGTCATGTAAGAAAGGCACAACAGCTATAAGCAGACCTTAACCTGCAGAAAGCTATGTCAGAAATGAAAGGGGTTAAATGTTTTCAAGCTGTCACTAGATGTTTGAGGAAGGTCTCTGATGACATTTGCCAAGAAAAAAGAAAAGAGGGAACTTGGTTAAGATACAAAGGTTTCATGAAAAGCCAGTTCTGGGATACAAGGGCAGTGGTTTCTGTCCAGTCTTGCTACTGTTAGGGGAAACTGCAGAGACCTGAGATGTCTTGAAAGTTTTGCTGTTTTTAGTAACCGTAGCAATTCACGTTAGCCACAGTTTACCCATTTGGTAACATTGTCACCCTTAGACAAAATTTGAATTTTTGCTTGCCTTGTAGTTACAGTGTGCTTGTTCTCCAGCAAAGGACTACGAGTTCATCTACTGTCAAAAGTAGTGCTGCCTCAACTGCACAAGCGCAGTTTGAAGAATGAAACCTTATGTATCCCTGCAGTTGTGTCTTTTGTAAATGTGTGGAGAGAGGAAGAGCTTAGTCGATCTTGTTATCTAAATTATACATGAATATCATTGTATGCAAGCATAATTTCATTTATGTGAAATGTTTTTGGGGGGCTTTAACCTGCTGGCAGATGAAAAATACACATTCACACAAGAGTTTTTCCAGTAGAAAATTAGAAGCTGTAGTGTAAAGCTGAAAACTCAGCAGCCTTTTGCAAGCACCAACTATTCCAACGGCTGCAATTTTCCAAGGCTGGGGTTAAACTGCCAAACCCATTTTACCCTCCTCAAGATGACTAATGCTTGTCCTCAATTTTTAAGAGTAATGTGGGGGGCAGATGACAGTGCAGCTTGGAATGCTCTCACCATACTAACGGAAAATAATTTTGCCTTACAGCATAAGATGACATCTACATTTTTGCTTATTGGTCATCTAATTCTAGTCATACCTTTGTTCAGTGCTGGTAAGTTAGATGTGTTTTTGAAATTACTATTTTAAAAAGAAAGCCTAAGAGACACAAGTTGAGTATGTGTAGTAGAGAAGAGGGAAATTACTGTATTTAGTATTTGTTTTTGTTTTAGCATACTGAAAATATTCCAAATGTTTCTTCTTGGATCGAAGCTGTGCTGGGGGTGGTTAGGACAGGCTGGCATAAATTCAGAGTACTGATGCTTTGAGTAGCCTCTCCCTAATTCCTTTAAAGAAAGTGTGAAGAGACTGGCGTCCTTGAAGTCACATTAGCTTTTAAATGCCTTCTTTAAGAGTTGTACTGTATTTCCTGCCCTGAGAACAGACTGGTAGAGGTCAATTAATTAGTAATTTGCTATTACTATTAATATTTTAATGGTAGATCTAAGTTCTCAGTAGAGTTTAGGCTACACAAATTAATATTGTTTATCTTGCTGTTCTTGGCATAAGCAGGCTAATATTAAGGAAATAGCTCTCTAGGCAACTATTTGAATTAGGTGGCAAGATGGTGTTAAGGTAGGAAAATTACTGAAGGCTTTTTTTAAAAAAATCATGAGATGGGCTTTGAATTTACATCATCATTCATCAAAATTTGCAAAATAAATTGCCAGTGGTTCCCCCCTCCCCCGGAATTCAGTGTTGCATATTCAGAAGCTTTTAAAATGTGCTTCATAGCCAACTGGCTGACTCTGAGAAATGGGTATTTTCTAAAAAAATTTAAGCATATAGACTTCTTGATGACTTCTTGCAGTATTTGTTGTTCTCCTGTATTATTTTAAACCGATGCTTAGAAATTCCTTATTAAGACACATGATTGTGTAATGTCAACTTGTTACATAGCCATAATTATAAAAGGATGGTGCTCTGGACAGAGAGGAGAGAAATTGCAAATACAGTAAGGAAATAATATATCGTAGTCAAGATTTCCTAATATAAAAACCTCATCTCTTCAAATTTAGATTGTATTATGTGTTGGTTCACAGACTTAATTTTATTTATGTGGAGATCTTGATCTAATTCCATACAGTCATGTGCTTCAGGTCAGACTCTTCTTTTTTTCCTCCTTTTTTTCCCCCCCTTATTTGTTTTTGGCTTTACAGTCATAATGGCCAGGGTAGTATGTAGACTTCCATGCTGCTACCATTTGCACTGTGTCTTTTGTAGACAGATCAACTAGGAGTCTGGTAATTCTACGTAAGTGCTATTGTGCTGAAATAGGAAAGATGTGAAAGATGAGAAGCTTGTATTGCCTGGCAAATCCCACATATCTTCATATATCATGGTTTACTGTGTGACTATTGCTGACTATGGTAACTGAAGTTTTGACCTAAACTTTGTAAAGTATGTGCTTACTCAACCAGAAGGTACTGAAGAGATAAAAGCAGTAGTCTTCCAATGTTTCAATGGTAAATAATTATGGAAAATTTAATTATTTTAAATTGAAATGGGTATATGGATATTGATACTTCTTAAAAATATACAGATTAAAAGCATTAGTAAGTTTTCTTTCTCTCTCTCTCTCTCTTTTTTTTTTTTTTAATAGAAGAATGTGTTATTTGTAATTACTTTGTTCTTGTTGGAGAACCTACAGCTATCAGTTGCCCAGTAATTACATTGCCAATGCTTCATTCTGATTACAATCTGACTTGGTATAAAAATGGTAGTAATACACCAATAACCACGGAGACACATGCCAGGATCCATCAGAGGAAGGGCTTGCTTTGGTTTATTCCTGCAACACTTGAAGATTCTGGGCTTTATGAATGTGAAGTAAGGTAAGGAGTGAAACAAATGGATTACTAAGGCTTACAGTGTAGTGATATCTGTGGGACTTCAAAGTACAGATGATTTTTTTTTTTTGGGGGGGGGGGGGAAAGTGATCTTAGATTAGTTAAAAGCAATGTCTTGACCATGCTTTTTGGTGTGCTGCCTTTTTTTCTTCCAAATGTGTTGAATTTGGCATTGCAGAAGTGTTTTGTACAGGAAACTTTTTATGTCAAAGGACAATAATATTGACCATGGTGTGGGTTTTTTTTTTTTCCCCTGTTTGTTTTCATTGTTTGTCTTGGCAGAATTGTAAAGTCACTGTAAAAGGTCTTAACTCCTTCAGCTATTCCTGTGTTCATATGGCTGTTTGATGGCAGCAGATGAGAATAACATTTTAATTTCTTCACTGAATGTGATTAAATGGAAGAAGGAGCTATGAATAGCAAACTCTGTATGCTACACACTATCAACGATGTTACACACTATCAACGCATACAGACTTCCTGGATAGCTGTGCAATTCTGGGGGGATCCTTTTGGGGAATTTACAAACTGAGAAGCAGAAAACCATTCTTATATGTCTTAATATAAAAAATTACCAAACGCTATTTGTCAAAAATGAGAATGCATATGAAGAGCAAAGCAGCGTGCTAGACATCTTTAGAGATAGTGAGAATATTGTTTCCCCAGCATTGTTAAAATGATTTACATGCATAGAGAAGAAAGAAAAGAAATAGATTCCTTTCAATTAGTGCACTGGAAATTGCCACTTCAGGTGGTCAAATCTTATTTATGGTGGCTGAAATCCACTGTGTGCTGAACAGGAAATTAATGCCAACAAGGCACATAGAAATTGTTTTGCTTTGTTTTTTTTTTTTTTTTTTTTTTGGTCATGTCTTGCCACATCACACCAAGAACAACAAATGCAGATCTTTTCAGGTAACCCAAATCTTGTCTTACTAGTTTGTTGTTACATGTACTGCTGTGCATACAGACACCAGTTATGTTGAAGGGATTTAGGATGTGATGTAGTAACAGTGATCAGGAAGAACTTTCAGTGTAGGCCTCTTGCTTTAGATTCAGAAATGAATCCAAAATTGAAACAGGGAAGAAATGCAACCATTACAAAGCTAACTAGATATTACAGTAAACACAGATTTAATTTAGCCATGCTTGCTTTGTGTTTTCTCGGGCATTTGACCTCCTAAGTTTGGCTTGCGTAACAGCAGCATGCCAAAAAATATACAGTAAAGCTCAATTGTATTAACTGTAGGCTATGTTTTGTGCATCATGCATTTAAGATTTAATCTTAAAACTTACCAAGGTGCAGCATATTAAAGTTGTAGCCAAGTCTGTGAAAATATGCATCTGTCTCTTCTTGAAAGCATCTCACTTAGCATGCCGTGAAGAAATGAATAGCGAACAGAAGTTAATAATGGCTATTTCTTTATTTCTGTCTCAGATTTCTGTCTTGTAGTACCACATCTCCTGCAGAGCTTTGATACCACAAATTCTTGTTGGTGTTCTGTGAGCTCTCAGTCAGAAGTGGTTTCATGTTGATATTGTACCAAGGTACAATATGGTGTATTTGGTGTATGTCTTATTCAAATGCTTTGTCTCTCTTGTGCTAAAAGTTATCCTTTGCCCCTTCAAAGATTATTATCAGTGAGATTGACCCATTTTCTTCTTCTGTTTACTTCCAGTTCAGCTGAGACTGAAAGTGTTCCAGAGCAGTTATGGTTTGGGTGACCCTGCACTAATGTGTATGGGCAAAGATAGAGCTGAAAACAAAAATGCTAGGTTGCTGCTCTGGGCTCCACAGTGTCAGCTGTGAGAAGTTCTGAATTCTCATCTGGTGAAACTTCCAGAGCAGATTTTACTTCAGTTCACTACACAACATAAGAGGTTATTCCCATCTCTCTTGATCTGGAACAGAAAGTGAGGGAGAAACTGAGGGTGATGTTTAAGAGCTGGAGAGACTGTAGCAATAGTGATAGAGGCAAAGCTGGTGAAGATACTAAAGTCCCTTTAAGTCCTAAAATCTCTTCTCTATAAATTTCTTGACTTGCTGGAAACAGAGGCTGTGTTGTTAATGACCTGACTTGTTTGCTCTTCTCATTACAGGAGTCTTAACCGCTCTAAACAGAAAATTATAAATGTAAAAGTTTTTAAGAATGATGATGGTTTGTGCTTTAATGGAGAAATGAAGTATGACCAAATAGTGAAGAGTGCAAATGTTGGAAAGATTATATGCCCTGATCTAGAAAACTTTAAAGATGAAGACAATATTAATCCTGAAATACACTGGTATAAGGTATTGTACATATCTATTTAAGATATAGAAGGAAATATTATTTTTAAAGTGTGCTATGAGGTAACTGTGAATTGAAGTTTTAGAAAGAAGAAGTTTACTCTACAGTTTGAATATGGCATCTATCTTGCCACAGTTAGCAAGAGATGCATATTTAAAAAGACAATATGTCAACATTTAGGCTGTAAGTTCCATCAGAATCCTGTATGTGTGTTGCTTTTGTTTGTTGATTTGTGAAATTTGCAGTTGATGTAGCTAATAAGTTGGTAGGTAAGGTATGGAGGTGATGAGTTTAAAAACTTGTGTTTCTTTAAATACTAAGCTCTGCATAGCTATTTCAGTTTCTCCGAATATTAGGCTTATCCACTATCATAGAATCACAGAATGGCCTAGGTTTAAAAGGACCATAACGATGATCTAGTTTCAACCCCCTGTTATGTGCAGGGTCGTCAGTATGTTGATTATAGTATAGTATTCTTACGCCTCTTGCTCTGAATCCAGCAAAATATTGTGTAGACTATGCAGACTCGGAAAGGTATAGGTTTTTTTTGTATTGAGGTAAAATTCTAGAGCAGTTCAACTCTTAATTCTGATGCTGGCTTTCAAGTATTTGTATCGATCTATGTATTATATTTGAAATAAAATGAACAGGTGTAGCATCAAGGCTCTTTTGAGATGAAGTGATTCTAAACTGTTTATAGGTCATGGAAAAGAAAGTCACTGCATTTGCCCTTGCCACAGAAGTGATAATACACCCAACATCATGAGTCATTGCTACAAAAGCTCAGTTTCATCTCAGTGAAGTAGAAATGTAGGCACGCATTCTCTAAATTCTGCTCCAAATGTAATGACTTTTAGTCCATTAGCGTGATAAGTCCTCCTAAATCACAGGCATTTTTGATACTTCTAGGAGTGTAAGTCTGGATTTCTTGAAGACAAACGACTTGTTTTGGCAGAGGGTGGAAATGCCATATTGATCCTCAATGCTACTATCCAAGACAAAGGAAACTACACGTGCCGTATGGTATATACATTCATGGGAAAACAATATAATGTCTCACGCACCATGAATCTGGAGGTTAAAGGTAACTACACAGAGGTTTTATTCGCTTTTTTTTTTTTTTTTTTTTTTTTTTCCCCCTCTATTTATTTCTAAGTTATTTGTATACAGGCATAAGCAATCTGGCATGACATTTTTCAGCTCTGTGGGATGAGGACTGCAGATTTTCTTTAAATTAGTTTTTCCTTGAATGCAATGATTGGAGTGCAATAATGCATATTGCTACCCTTGAACATGGCTTTTGAGAAAGAATTGTCTTAGGAAAATGAAAAATCTGGGGTTAGGAATAGAAAGAAACAGTGGTTACTGGGGTGGTGTTCTTTTTTTTTTTTTTTTTCCACAGAAACAAAATCAAACATGTGAACAACCATTAAATCAAAACCGAACAAGTTATTTTTATTGAGATCAGGGCAGCAGAACTTTTTGTAGCCCTGCTGGTCAGTTTGTTTTTGTAGGCAGCCTTAATGGTGACCTGATCTCTACCATGACAGTAGTCCTTTCAGAAAAGTTGGCTAGAGCTGTATTGTCCATCTTCTTAGATTGAGTCACTATTCTTAGGTTAGATGACAATACAAGAGCAGTAGCTTGATAGCAATGAGTCTCCATATTATTGCAAAATGATACAATTCTAGCCCAGTTTAAGTGTGTACTTGTTAACTTTTAAATAGATACTCAACCTAGAAGATTGAGTCATTGTGATAATTCCTCTTTCTCTTCCTTATCTATCTCTCTGACAAAGTTCATTGCATTACTTTTGATCTTGTTTCTGTTTTGTGGTTTTGTATTACATCTATCTAAATTTCCACTGAATTTAAGACTTAAAAAAAATTGTAAGGTAAACTGAAATCTGTCTTGGAAGCTAAAAGAATAATTTAGTTGGAGCATAGCACATCTCATTAGAGATTTTCTACTGGAAATTTGAAGCTGGCAGTAGATATGGTGCTACAATAGAATCATATAGTAAAACAAAAACATTGCAAAACTTTCAGTTAGAGTAAATTGTGAAAATTGTATTGTCCAGAGGTTTCATTTAGTTATTTATTTTCTTTCAGAAAGTCCACTGAAGATGAGACCGGAGTTTATTTACCCAAACAACAATACAATTGAAGTGGAACTTGGTAAGTAGTGAATATTTAAGAAATCATTAAAATTTAGTTAACAGATAAACTCCGTGCCTTTCTGAGATAACATAGTAACAGTTCAGCTGATTTCTGCAAGACTGGTATGTAGACATGTGCATTGAGAAGGGTGGATGATTGAGCATGATTTCTTGCAAGTAGTTTGCAGATAGAATAACGAGTGCACCTAAGATTGGAGTCTCTTGATCAGCAATGCCAGGTTGGATGTGTCCATATTTGATTATGGCCATCTATCCTTTGTACCACTTCTCACTGCCTGTGTCTTGGCATATCTTCAATTCATTGGAAATATGATTATGTATATGCAACATGTTAGGATATTTACCAGATGAGCATTTTTGGTAGCTTTTCTCATCCTGTATGTTTCCTTTCTCTCTACTCTCTCTGGAAAATGGATTTTCCAGATGATTTTCCAAATGCCCTTCTAGGGAATTAGAAGATTTTTGATACTGATCTTTTGTGAAGCACTGAAATCTTAGTTCATAGATATTCCAGATGCTGTTAGTCTTAGAAATTTCTTTAAACAAAAGAGATTCTGACTGGATAGAAGGACCAACTTCTTCCCAGTGAAGACAGCCAGGCAGTGGAGTTGCACAGAGAAGCTGTGCATTCTCTGTCCTTGGAGGTTTCAAAACCCGGTTGGATAAAGCTTTCAAGTAGCCTGGGCTGATTTGATAGCTGGCCCTGCTTTGAACAGGAAACTAGACTAGAAACGTACTGAGGTCATCCCCAATATCAGTTATTCTGTGAGTCAGTGAGCTTAGAGTATAGTATGCAAGTCTTTTCCTGAGAAGACCTATACATGTTTAGATTGTACCATATATAATAAATGCGTTGTACTGATCTAGCCTAGAAGAATGAGTTTTGAAACTGTATGAACTGTGAATTTTTTTTAAAATCATTTTGTACCAAGTAGAACTGTTTCCAATAAAAATCTTTGATTAAAAAGGGCTTTAACTGATCTTGGAGAAATGTGAGTGGCTGTTGCAATTTCCTAGTGCAGAGAGGTCTAACATGTCTGGCACTGTTTTAAGGAAGCAATTATAAATGCTAATAAAAATATTAGCAGTTAGTTCATTAAAGAAGCCCAGAGGAAAGGTTGTGCTGGGGCTCTAGCACCATATGGGAACCAAGGCCAGAGAATCGTGGATTACTCTTAGATACGTCACACTGATGGTAGTCAAACCACTATTCAGGGGTCTGATCAGCTTAGGCCCTTAAAAGGCACTTTAATTTACTGAATGCATAAAGGACTTTTTTAATCCTTTGAGAAAATGGAAGATCAAGTAATTGTCATTCCAGGGGCTGCCTGTTATATTCTTTGCTTATATTAAGATTCGTTATGGGACACCTGTGACTTTTTGTTTAGACAACTACGTTTTAGATGAGCATTTGGATCCAAATTTGTTAAAGCTTGAACATTGTTGATTAAAATTTGCTGTTATGTTATTGCTCGTCGTAACTGATCTGAGGCATCCAAACCAGCTTTAATTACTTCACAGACATTGAGAAAGCAGTCATGCATGGGACTAAAGGGAAACACAAGGCCTTCACCCACAAGGTGGGCTTATTGTAGCTGAAGAATTAACACAAAATAAATGTTTCTTGATGACAAGGAGACTCTTTAAAGGAAGGGGTTTCTTAAGGCAAACTCTATTCTGGAGGGAGAAGGTTGAAGAGAATCTGGGATTTCTATGTAAACCCTGTTCTAGTAATTACTCTGGAATAAACCTTTAGTTCACATGCATGCTTTTGATAGAGACTATCCTTTGGTGGAAGCATCTAGATCTGTGGTTCTAGGAAATGAAACCCTGAGATCATTACATAACTTCTGTTGGTAAAATAAAGAAGGAAAGGACTCCATGAAAGATGCTTCCGTTCTTGTAAATGGAACTGTTTGAGGTACATTCACAATAAATACATTCTGCAACTTGACTTGCTTTCTTAATGCTACTGTATGATGCTCATACTGTAAGATCTGGATTCTTGATGGCAAAGGAACTTACAGATGGGTGAACTTGCTCTGAAAGTAGAGTGTCAGTGTAATCAGAAACGATTCCAGTAGACAATGTTGGCCAAAAGACTCTGATCTGATGTAGATACGCGTGGTCACTAAGAATAGGATGCAGCTCCAATTCACAGGTACCTCCCTGTAAGTGTCTGCATATGTCTTAAGGACTTCAACTTGTGCTGTTATTAATAGAAGCTTAATTCAGTTGCCTATCCGTAGATGTCTAGTGCTGTTTTGGTTGAACTGACTGCTCCAGCTGTGCAGGTTTCCTGAAGATTTAGAGTATTATCTACCAGCACTGTATAGATGTTTTTGAAATGTTATCACACTGTGTACAGGCAACTGATTTGAGCCTGGGAGATTTTTGAGTGTAGTCAGAGGAGTCTGGAGAGCCATTCAGATGGAAAGGCTCAGGTATCCATTCCAATAGCAGATTCCAGTGGAGGTGAACTCCTTTACTAGGTTAGATATTTAGTTCACATGTAGACATGAACATTCAGATACCTACATTTAGGGTGGAATTCACATCCAGATTGGAGACACTCAACAGTGGAGTAGAAATGGATGAGTTTTATGGACTCTGCTTTTTGTAAGGTAAGTGGGTTTTTCCTTACCCCTCTTTTTCCAGCTGTTCCCCTAACACTGGAATCTGCTTTTGTTGCAAGACTTTCAATTGCTGTATTTAATTTTTTTTTTGCTTTGTAGGCTCTCATGTAGTCATGGAATGCAATGTATCAAGTGGTGTGTATGGCTTGCTTCCATACTGGCAAGTTAATAATGAAGATGTTGATAGCTTTGACAGCACCTACAGGGAACAGTTTTATGAGTAAGTTCTTATACATTGAACTTAAGTGCATTTCTGTGTGATGCAATCGGTAGTAATTTGTGGTGAATTCACTGTAAAGTTGACTAGTAGTTAATGGCAGTAGTTGTTCAAAGAACGATTAGAAATCTGCATCAAGTACATGATATCCTTAATGCTTGATTTAAAATATATAAGCAATTTCTGAAAAACACAAATGGAATGAAGCAACTATATTCAGACCTTCAGAAAGTTGTTATGAAACGTACCATTTTGTAAGGCTTATTTATGTATTTACTTTATGCAGCCCTTTTACTAATAGATTACATCTTGTCCTCTGTCATTAATGTGAGAAGGAAAGATATTTTAAGGCCAAAAAAAAAAAAAAAATCACTCTATTTTTATTTGTTAAATTGATATAGCTGTTGATTTTGAAGTACACAGAGGAGAAGACCTTGTTGTAGAATATTTAGGGTTATATATTTTTTTCATTTAGGTAAATTAAGTACGAATTAAACCAGAAAAAACCACAGTAATTTCTTCCAAAACAGAAGGATCTTTGTTTCTGAGTGACTAATTTATACTGTAAGAAATTGTGGGTATGCTGTCTGTTTTATCGTCACATCAACCACTGCCACTAACCATAATTCTTAAAACTAAGTGTAGAGAAGGATGGAGGGGGTTTTTCAACTGGCCATTTCAGAATCATGCAGAACCATTGCTGTCTCCATCACCAGTGCAAAAACTGGATAATGTCATGTTGAATACTGTTCTTAAAATGATTTTTTGTATGTGATTCCAGTTTCTGTTGATGCTGGTTTTCTAATTCTTTTTCTTTTTCCCCCAATGAAAGAGAGGGAATGCCTCATGGGATTGCTGTGTCTGGAACAAAATTTAACATTTCAGAAGTGAAATTAAAGGATTATACTTATAAATTTTTCTGTCACTTCTTTTATGATTCTCAAGAATTTACATCATACATCAAATTGGAACACCCAGGTAAGCTGCCTCATCTTGATAAAATTATGGTCCTTGATGATTACTTCTTAATTAGTTTGACACCACATTACTTGTGGCTAAAACTGTGCAATGTACCTTTGTGCTAAGCGGGCAGTACAATTCAGTATCTTCCTCTGTGGCATCTTTCTCTCATATTCCTTTTCACAGTAAGTTTAAAGAAAATATCACTTGGAATGTGCTTTGCTTTCTCTTGTTTGGTGTTTGGGAAAAATCAGTGAAACATTTAAATTACATTGAAGCAAATATGAGTCCGTGGCAGAATATTGTGCTTCATTTTGCACACTGGCACATGGATCAGAGGATATAGCGTGCACAGAAGAGCTGTGAAAATGGCCAATTCTCTTAGAGAACCAAGAGGAGACATAACTAAGACTGGAACTAGGCCTTAAAAGAAAACAAATACATTTGTGGATCTGATTGTTCTAACTTCACTAACAACGAATGGGCTCAGATGGCCAGGATAAGAAAAAGTTGTTTAGATAATAGGAAAAGATCTTAAGGATGATAGTGAAGCTATGAAATAGTTTGTTTGGAAAGGTTGTGGGATTACTGATGCATGTGCCTTGTCATCACCTTCTAGACTCATGCATGTTGACTGGGAGCATCCAGCTGCTTGTTGGATATCTTGTAATCAGCTCAGAGACAGGATATGATTGATCTGTTGCTGACTAGCCTGAAATCTTTCTTTTTAGTATATAAACCTTATGCTAAAGGTAAAATGAGCATGTAAAACCACAGATTCAATGCTCAAGAATTTCATTCTTTGTAGTTAAGAACAGATGCGTAGAAAAGCAAACTACCAGATTTAATAAGCAGCGACTTATTTTATTTTTTGATTTAGCTATGGAAGATTATCTGGTCTGCTGAGTGGCCAAGCTCACTTGGTCAACGGTGAGCCAATCTTTTGACAGAGGTTATTTTCAAACTGGCAACACGGTAAACAATAATTGACTGAAAGTGGATCAGAGCTCTAGCTTCCTACAGAAGTATAAACAAATTAATGGCTTACCGTAAACTAAGATTGTCAGGGTAGCAATTAACCTCAGAATTTTTCAAATGTGCATCAACTAAAAATTGTAGTTTGTGGAATTGTTTGTGAGTGTGATTTCTTTTTTTCTTACTTGTTGTTTTTTGATGTGTTGAAGACGACAGAGTAGGAGGTTCAGCAGTGGATCTTTGATGAGGCTGCGTACTATGGGTGAACAGTCTGGAAAAAGCAGCATAGTCAGGAAGCCATCTCTGACTTCCTTCCTTTCTGACTGATTAAATTTTGTACAAGAACTCTCACTGTACTGTAACACTGAGATATACATTAATATTTTGGTGTATTGGCTGAGAGAAGCCTCTTTAGTCCCACTGTTAAGGTACCTTTTCTCTGAAAGATAAAATCTGACACGTCAAAATTGTATTTGTAAAAAGTATGCATGAAAATATTTCAGTTTTGTCCTTCATTGTATTTTCTTCTTTTCCAATCCCTTATTGACTAACAACACTTGAAAAAAGGTAGGCAGTTTTTAACATTTCTTTTCTTTTTCTGTTCCTCATCTATAATTCTACTTTCATTTGTTTTGTTTTGTTTCTCCTTTTATTCCATGTTTTACTGCAGTTCAGAACATTCGGGGTTACTTGATTGGAGGAGGAATTTCTTTGATATTTTTATTGTTTCTTATACTCGTTATCTACAAGATCTTTAAAATCGATATTGTGCTTTGGTATCGGAGCTCCTGCCATCCTTTCCTGGGTAAAAAAGGTATGTTTATGTAGCAGTGCAGGTGTACTTTGAGAGTGCTGTGTGTTGCATGGAGCAGATTGTCTCCATGGAGTGTGACTGGTAATTTCTCATGAGTTTTCTCTCTGTTGTGTGCTAGCATTCAGAATAACATTGAATGGTGTGCTGTCTGTAAGAGCGGCATGCTGAAGTTTGGGCCATTTCCAAACACCTGAGAACAACTGCATCAGTAGGGAAACAGAAAGTATCTACTAGATATATTGATTCATTGGGACTTCTGTAAAGTCCTATGTCTGGTCTTTCTGAAGTTGTGTTTTCTGACATATTAAATGTGCTTCTGATCTTGAAATTTGCCAAGTATTTTGTTTTTGCATCTAAGTGGTTGTGTTTTGGTTACAAGAATGATCTAATACTTACATGGCTGCTGGAATTCCAAAACACTCAATTGTCCTATTGCAACAGCTATTTTCTAGATAATTCAGTGGTAATGTTTTTTTTTGTTTGTTGTTTTTTTTATATTTACAGTTGAATAAGAATACAGATCTCTTGCCTGTTTAGATCCAGCATAGTGAATTCTTGAGTCCCATTTCTACAAATATATCAGGTTCAATATAATTATGCATGCTTAGATAGTAGTAAGATTAGATCCCAGAGTAATGTGTCAAGTGGGGGATGAAACAGAACTTAGCAATATGATTTTTGTTTATGTCTTTGGAATTCTTTTTTTAAACTATATTATTCTTATTGCTCATTCTTTAGTTTCAGATGGAAAGATCTATGATGCTTATGTTCTATATCCAAAGAACAGAGAGAGCTGTTTGTACTCATCAGATATTTTTGCTCTGAAGATACTGCCAGAAGTCTTAGAAAGACAGTGTGGATATAACCTCTTTATATTTGGGAGAAATGATTTAGCAGGAGAAGGTGAGCAGTCTGAAAACAAATAATACTCAAGTTTTCTCATAGATAGCTGAAGTAAGCTGCAAAAATAACTCAGGAACAGGGGTCTTTCAATGTCTTTCCACGGACCATTATTTGCTTTGTCTTCCATTTGCGTGTAACAAAAATTTGCATATCAGAACAAGCTATTAATGTGAAAAGGTCATAGCTTTATCTAGGTGTATGGTTTTGGTTGCTGTTTTTATGCAGAACTTCTGAACATCTACTCACATATGGTCAGATTGTGTTGCTTTGGCCAAATCTACTCTTGACAGCTAACATAGCTTGCACACTCTTATCCTGTCCCTATTTATAAGTTAAAGTTGGCTCAAATATCAAGCAGTAAACAAAGCAGTTGGAATGTATGGGTACCATCTTAATAGCTGGAGCACCTCTCCGATGAAGAAAGGTTGAGGGAACAGGGCTTGTTTAGCGTGGGAAAGAGAAGGCTCTGAGAAGACCTCATTGTGGCCTTCCAATATATGAAGGGAGCATATAAACAGGAGGGGCAGTAGGATGATGGGGAATGGTTAAACTGAGACAGGGGAGGTTTAGGTTAGATATTAGGAGGAAGTTTTTCACACAGAAGGTAGTGTCACACTGGAACAGGTTGCCCAAGGAGGCTGTGGATGCCCCATCCCTGGAGGCATTCAAGGCCAGCCTGGATGTGGCTCTGGGCAGCCTGGTCTGGTGGTTGGTGATCCTGCACATAGCAGGGGGGTTGAAACCAGATGATCGCTGTGGTTCTTTTCAACCCAGGTCATCTATGATTCCATTCTATAATTAATTTTGCTTGACCTTTTTTTCTCTCTGCAGCTGTGATCAGTATTACTGATGAAAAAATCCATCAAAGTAGAAGAGTAATAATTATCTTAGTACCAGAACCATCATGTTATGGTGTTTTAGAAGATGCATCTGAAAAACATCTTGCTGTGTATAATGCTCTTATCCAGGATGGTATAAAAATAATTCTGATTGAACTTGAAAAAATAGAAGATTATGCAAACATGCCAGAATCCATCAAATATGTTAAGCAAAAGTATGGAGCTATCCGATGGAAAGGGGACTTCTCGGAAAGGTCACACTCAGCAAGTACGAGGTTCTGGAAAAAAGTGCGCTACCACATGCCGTCCAGAAAACATGGATCTTCATCAGGGTTTCATTTGTCACCATAAGACTTGAATTCTCCCCAGGCAACAACAGAAAAATGACTGACAAAGTTTATGTAATTGGTGATGGACTGACAGAAGGTTGCATGTTTTGTACAAACAATCTCACCCAAGTTTTCTGGATTGAAGGTACTACAACTTTATCTACAGACGTGAACCATATTTTCTTCTGACCACATCAGCAGAATGTCTTGAAATGTCATCAACAGCACAGTGATGGCACGGAAACATTTAGGAAGTACTTAAAGGATTCTTCCAAGAATTGCACTGTGATTTTCTAAAGCATTTTTTAATTTTGTAAAACAATAAGAAAGACCCAGAAAAATACTTTCGAGCAATTGAAGGATGAGTATGAAGGAAATCGTATAAATTAATTATAATTGTGATGTTATATATTGGACTTGGTTGATGCTGGTAAGTGATTTTTTTTGTTGTTGTTTTTTTATGAAATGACATGAATTTTATTTGTTACAAGTTTATTTGCTGCTTTGTTCATTTTGCTCAAAGGTAATACCATCATTGTTAGTGCACCTGTGTGGTATCACCCAAGAGAAAAGGTAAGAGGCAATCCCAGCTTCCCCAGAATGCTGCTCAGCCTGACAAAGAGTAAATTCTCTTTCCTGATCTATCTTACATTTAAAGAACTGCATGGTTCTCGGCCCCTAATGCCATTCAGACACCATTAAAAGTATCATTGTATTGCTGTTCCTAGTCTTAAAATGTTTAATGTCCAGAAGACTTTTATCTTGTTAAGTGCTTTAGTATATTTGTCCTTTATTACCATGTGGAGCTACGAGGTCATGACTGATTCTCTCATGCAGACTAGAGAATTGTTGGCTTTTTGTTGGCATCTCAGGGACCAAAGGTGCTTCAGGGCACAGACTACAAAGCTGGGTTGTCCCCATGTGTTGCTGATGCTGGAAGTGAGCATGTTTCTCCTCCTGTTCCCAGCCAAGGTGCTGGCTCCAGCATTTGTCAAATCTGAAAGCTTATGCTACCTGAACAGGCTAATGTGGCAGAGATGCTTTTCTGTTCTCCCACATCAGTGAGTTTATCATTCCTGGAAGGGTCATTGTGCAGTGGAAAAGGAAAAAGGATAGAGTGGTCATGCTTGGTAGTGCTATATGCATTTAGAAAATAGAGCTGAAATAACACTGTTGCCCAGAGACGGCTGGAGTCCAATGGGTTTACATGAAAACTGTTAAAACTTATTGTGGATGCTGAATGCTTTTTCTTTCCCTCTTTCTTACTTTTGCTTTTTTAGCAACTTTATGTACAACATGAAATTGTTAACTCCGAAGCTAAGACTCATGTGTGGACAGTGATGCAGTCTGTAATGATAAATTCTCTTGAAGGGGGATTGTCTATTTTCAAAGAAATCATCAAATTTAGTGTCATGTTTGTAGATAGAAGATTTACAGGAATAAGAGATGTGGGAGTTAAACCATCTGTGCTTTTCATTTTCTGCCCGAATTTCTACTTCTAAGTTAGAGATTTAGTTTTGTATGGAAGCTTCAGTGTTTATCTGTTACAAGTGGACTATGTAGTCTAAGTATAAGGCATAGATGGTTCTTGAACAAACTTAGAAAATTTCAGTTTGGTGAACTCTATGCCATCTGAAAACTAACTTGTGGTTCAAGTTATCATACACAGGCATTGCTTGGTTTTGCTGCTAGTGACTTTTGATTATTAATGAGTTCCTTTTTAAAAACAAACAAAAAAATGTTCTGGGAAGATAAGTATTGAACTGTTTTTGTGATTGTTAAAATGTAGGTGTAATGACCAATTGCCTGTGTTCTCAAGGAAAAAATATGACAGCTCTGGTAACATTGTGTGGGTAGGGAAAAGGCACAAGGCTGATTAATAAACTTAAAGTGAAGATCTGGTTTATGTAACAGTTGCAAAATAGCTAGGAAATTATGCATAAGGGAGAGAGAATTGAGAGAGAATTGAGAGAATGAAGGAAGCAAAAAAAAAAAAAGAAAGCTCTGTAGTTGTGCACACTAACTCCTTTGTGATTGTTTGCTCTAGTGTTAATAATTGTCCTAGTATAGAATTTCAAGACAAGGCATCTGATCAGACTGTGATGGTTCATTTGCAACACGAGTTTCGGATCTGCCTTTAATTTCTGCTTGTGATTCTGGATTTCTGTTTGTGTTCATGTCCTCTTAACTTCTGTTTTGCAGAACTTCTTTTTCCCAACTCAAATTTCAGTAAATCTTATTACATACTGCAGAACAGTCAGCTTACTACTATGTAAAATTCCTTTGCTTTCCAGGCTGTTCTCACAGGCTGCTGCATTAGGCAGAAATTTTTCCTTTGAATTGATCCTTTGATATCTCTGATACCACTTTTTCATCTGAAAAACTTATGTTCTGCATCCTTCAGAATTCTTCTACTCTTTGAGTACCGCTTCCTTCATTTTGACACTGTAGTGTTATTTTTTGTTTGTTTTTTTTTTTCTGTCATTGGCTCTTTTCTTCCTTCCCCATCCTCAACCAAAAGAAACTGATGGTCTGAGGTGCCATCCCTCATAACTGCCATTAGGATGACCATCCTAATAGTGGATAGTGGTGACCTTTGTGTTGTGCCTCACAGGTGACAAAGCCAATGGAAATAACTTTCTTTCCCACTATAAGTTATTTGATTACTTTGGTGTATGCTGGAAATTTGATATTCTCTGCCTTCTCAGCTTTGTGAGCTGAGTGTATATCTGACCAGAATGGTATGAGGGACAAGAGGGGGGGAAAAAGTATATGGGAAATGTCAGGGTATTTCCAACTGTTTTGGTACTGGAATATTTTATCAAAGAATGTCATGTATGTATAGACCAATTCACACTCTTATCTTCTGTTCTCATTCTGTGTTTTATTCTAGACAGAATTGTCTTGGGAGAAACACTTCTGGTCATGAGGTGTCACATTCACATAGCTGTTGCACTAGATCTGCTTTTCAATATAGTGTTTGTTTGGTGATAGTCCATCATGGTAAAAGAGCCTTGAGATCCATCTCAAGTTACTGAAATTCATCTGGACAAGGTGAATGTGCTAATTGGTATGGTTCACATTGATAAAAGAATTTAGTGGGACAGAAGCTGTATGGTTTGGTCTTTTGTCAGAGGATCCCAATATCAAATGTGAAGACTAGACACTGGAAGTATCATATTTTTACTTGGAGGACTAATATTGACTTTGCATTTCCACCTTGACAGTTTGCAAGCCAGCCAACAGAGTTCCACCAACCTCTGGCCTCTTCAGTTTTCGTGTTTATGAAAAACTGCTACTTGTTATGCCTTCCTTTAGTGGAAAGTTATTTTACTGAGCCAAAATACTGTTAATTGTTTGTTTTGATATACTTGTATGACTGAAGTTTTCATGTGTGTTATGTAAAGACACTTTGAAGAAAGGTTGTTTTTAATTCAATAAAACACTACCTAATTTTTTTCTTACAGCGTTGCTTTTTTCTCCTCATTTCTCTACTAAAGCATGCTGAAAATGAACAATAGCAAACAGCTGTCTTAATTTGAAGTGTTTTGGACACACTGCTTTATTTGTATCATATAATCATAGAATCACAGAATCATGGAATGGCCTGGGTTGGAAAGGACCACAGTGATCATCTAGTTTCAACCCCCTGCTATGTGCAGGGTCACCAACCATCAGACCAGGCTGCCCAGAGCCACATCCAGCCTGGCCTTCAATGCCTCCAGGGATGGGGCATCCACAGCCTCCTTGGGCAACCTGTTCCAGTGTGACACTACCCTCTGTGTGAAAAACCTCCTCCTAATATCTAATCTAAACCTCCCCTGTCTCAGTTTAACTATTCCCCTCTTCCCTTCCCATTTGCACTGCATTCAATCTGCTATTCTCAGAACTGGGCAAGGGGGGAAGAGTCTCAGTAACTACTGGGGCAAATCTAGGTTGTCTCAGTACAACCTTAGCACTAACCACCTCACTCTGTCTGGGTAGCCAGGAGCTGAGAGCTTGTCTTTGCCCTGTCCTGTGCTTTCCTTGCAGGGAAGTGAGGCTAGATCAACTCCAAGCCTGCAGCATCATGCACTGGGAACAGCACAGTGATTTAACATGCTGAATCCTGATGAAACAGTTGAGTTTCTCATCTTGCTTAGGAATCTCATTTTATTTTTATTATTATTTTGAAAGTTAGAAATTTCTAGCATTAACATATTAATTGCTAGCCGAGACTTCTCATTTTTCCTAGTTTGCTAGTAGGTCCTCCTCCCATGCAAGTCTTCTCAAAGTGGTTATTGTATTGGCTGGGACAGCACACAGTATTTCAGCTGAAGGTGAGCTAGTACCCTATATTTTGGTAGGGTGCTAAGAAACGTGTGTGTGTGTGTGATGGAGATGGTGATCCTCATAATAGTTGGTGGGAGTAGGTACAGGGCTGAGCTCTGCTGCTTGTACCATTCAGTTATTGGATGTACCAGAAGGATCTCATGGCAGCAGAATAATTGTAGCATATTGATTGCAATGGAAGAAGCCTTCAGGCAGCTCCCACAGGTCTCAGGTTACTTGGGAGAGAAGCAGTTTTTTTGTCATATACCACTTTTTCTCTTAACAATAGGAATGATGAACAGTGCTATCTGTTTTAAGGACATCGGATAAAGGCTGTAAAGTCTTCAGTGCTGGCAGACCTTACCAGGTCTGTCTGATGTGGCAGAGCTCAGGGCTTCCAGCATCTGAAGAGACATACAATTATCTGTGAAATCTCTTATTACCTTTTCAGATTACCTCCAATCAGCAGTATTTTAATCAACATCCTGATTAAGTCAGAATGCCTTTTTTACTAGGACTTATGAATGCTTGCATCAGTGCACTGCAGGATGCAATAGATACATCCCCAACTCCGTTGAAAATAGTTCTCCCAATTTAAGACAGCGTTTTGTTTTGTTACTCAACTGGTGACTTGGATTTTCTCCTTAATCTGTGTTTCTGGATTGCAAGTAGTTATTTTTGTATAAGAATCTAGTGGTGTCACTTCTGCATGTACGAGGAGCATAAGCAAAATAAGCAAACACTGTTATGAGCCAGGCCTCACACAATTCTCTTTCAGCTTTTGTGACACAGATAAATCACACAGAAAACTTCTGTGTGTTGTGCCGAGAGCACTAATTAAAACATTGATGTGAAAGCAATGGCTGATCCCATGGCAAGATCCCTGTGACACTAACTACCACCATACTTTAGCTGTTCCCTTTTAAAGTATCTGCTCCAGCTTTCCATGAGCTGCTTCACAGCCAGCCTTGCAGTCAGGTTTTGCAGTGCAACTCAGCTTTTCCTGCTCTATCTTGATAATTGATTTCCAAGATGAAAGTGATAAGGATATCAAAGAGAAATAAAAAACAGCATAACGTGATGTGACTGAACACTGTGACAGTCCACTTCTGTTTTCCAGTGATATATATCTATCTAAGTGATCTAAGTGATATATATTTTCTTGCACCTTACAAATTAATTTTGAATATTTATTTGGCGTCAGATGTTTTTCTGTTCTCCAATTGTATTGTGCATACTTTTTTATTGCTGAAAAGCTTGTCTGCTCCTACAACTATTTTAGATGGTCCACAGAAAGATGCTGTTTCTTGAAGCAGATCTTGCTGTCTTTAAAGATTGCTAGCTGCTGGATCTGTAATTCCATATGTCGGTTACTCTAGAATTTGGGATAGAAATAGTTTTGCCTCCCTGAGCAAAATATGTGGAAAACTTAGCATTTTGCTTTCTTCTTAGTTATCATAATTTCTGGGATTGTGTCTTCATTTCTATTAGCTCTGCTGCCTTCTCACCTAGTTGCCAATACTCTTCTCAAAGCAAGTGGAAAGCTTAAATTATTGTTGGGGCCACGTGTAATTCTTTTTTTCATTCTGATTGCACTGAAGACCTATTTAACTGGGCATTTTTGAGCTAAAGAGCATCTTATTCAGTGTTTTAATTTACCTTAAATATGAGCTCTGCCTTATTTTTGTCACTTCTCATGGTTATGAGCTTGAAAATGGGTCTTGTTAGTTTCATGTCTCAATTCTGAAATGTTTTTTGCCAAAACAAATTCCTCGAGGTGAGTTTTAAGCTTCACACTTGTGCAGGTAAAGAGAGAGGATGTAGATTTGTTGAAGGGGTGAAAATGAATAAATTATTTTCTGTGAGAGGGAAGAAAAGGACAGATTTGGCTATAAAAAGAGGCCCCAGCTCCTTTGAGAGAAACTGGATATGTACTTACCAGAAGTACAAATGACTTTCTATGCTCTACTAGTGAATAAATTGTAACTGCAAGATGGATGTTTAATTACCACACCATGAGTGCAGAAATATTCCTGCAAAATGGATGTAAATGCTTAAGCCAGTTGCTCATTGTGGAATTGTTCATTAAAATGGAATTACACATTCTTAGCAATGAAAGAACATTTAGACAGCTTTGACATTCTTAATAAGCTGAGTTTGGATGAACGATATTAAGAAAGCCTGTTTCCTGCAGCTTTAATCATATCTAGGTAGCTAACTGCAATGACATTTTGCGATATATTTTCCTGTAGACTCAACAAGTTTATACTATCATATGTGTAAGGATATTCTGAATGTCTTTAGCAAAGGTTAAAGTTCCAGAAAAAAATACATAAAGGGCTTTAAACTTCTGCTAGCTTTAGATTTGCTCTGCTCAGTTTCTTTTGAGAAAGAGATAGTTGACTATGATTGGCTACAAACTATATAGCTTTGCCCTAAAAACTCTTCTGGGTGCTTTAGAGATACTGTGTGACTATAGTCTCTTTTCATGTGGAAGGGATTTACCCGCACCACATAACACAAAGTGTATAGAATTCTGTAATTTCCTTTTTAAAAATAGCAATTACATTTGCTTGCCAATGTCACAAGTCCTAAAAGGAAACAAACAAAAAGAAATATTCCCCTACCCCTAAAAAAACTCCAAAGGTCAAGAGTGCCTTGTGCTAGTACCCAAGGTTAGACCTATACAAGTAAGCATCACCTTGATTTTTGCAGGGTAAATCAAGCAGGTGTTCAGGACATGGTGTCCACCCAACGTTATTGCCAGGCAGCTTCCTTCCCACCCATATGTAAGTGAATATTCTTGCTCCTGCTGACTGCACTATTTCTGATACAAACCACGAGAGCCATCGTCCTTCTTGGCCACCTGGGCACACTACTCATGTTTAGCTGGCTGTCAACCAGCACCCCCAGATCCTTTTCCTCCATACAATCTTCCAGCCACTGTGCCCTAAGCCTGCAGTGTTGCCTAGGGTTGCTGAGACCAAAGCGCAGGACCTGGTTGCTGCTCTTGATCTTGCTGAACCTCATACAGTTGGCCTCAGTTTACTGATCCAGCACGTGTCACAGCGTGCCTCCTTCTAACACCACATCCCTTGCTTTGGTGGAGGACAACATGCGCAGGCATAGCAGGGCGTAAACTCTTATCTGTGGTTATCATGCGGTGAGCAGGATGGCAGATTAGATTATGTTTATATTTGGTAAACACAGCTTAGAAATAGTACCTGAAAAAGCATGGAGGGAGGAGTAGGAGAGGATTATTCTCCACGGAGAACTTTGTAGCTGGTGTAGCAAACATGCTTAAACAGTACTTCTAGCAGGGATGAGAACCTGTCTTGGCAGTTCCACAGAGCCCAGATTTCTGCTCGCTTTGGGAGGAACCTTTGCTCTGCCTTGCTGTTTGTTTTTGGGTAGCTCAGTCAGTGACAGCACAGTGTTAGAATGCCCGTGTGATTTTGTTCACGCTTCTTATTCCAGCAGCGGTACATGAGTGAAGCAGAGAACCGAAGAAACCTGGTGCAGCGCTCCCAGGGCAGCAACGAGCTTAGTAAGTTCTAAAGAAAGAAAGAAAGGAAGAAAGAAAAGAAAAGAAAAAAATCAAAAGCAAATCAACGAGTGATGGCTTGTTGCGATCGCAGCTGAGGCAATCGCACGCCGGGAGGGGAGGGGAGGGAAACTCAGAGCTGACGTGGGGCCGCCTCACCAGCGCAGCCAGGGTATGGGAGGTTTCTCTGGCTGCTGCTGCCGCGACACTGGGCTTTTCCGCCTCTATCAGCTCCGTACGGCCGGGCCGAGAGCCCAGCGGAAGGCAGGTAGCTGCGGGGCTTCAGCCGAAGGGCTTTTTCGAGGTGGGAATCTGTCACTGCGCTGGGCGGGAGGGAAGCTGCCATCCCGATTTGGGTTGTTTTAGATCCACGTGTGGTAATGGGGTGTCGGTGGTTCATGGAATAACGGCTAAAAGTAGATGGGGGCGAGACCCTTAGTTCTGTAACTGGCTCCGTATAGGGGTGCTGACACCGCTCTTGTGTGTGTAACAGTGGGGAAAGAACGCAGGGGTTTCACGACCGTTTTTCCTGTATTAGAGGGGAGAGGCTTGATAAGCTCTTGTGAAGACTCACAGCAGTCAAGTAGTCAAGAGAAGCGGATAAGGTACACATGCTGAATGATTTATGTAAAAGAAATGTCTGTTAGTTCTCTACTCTGCCCTGATGAGGCCTCACCTGGAGGCACTGTGTTCAGTTCTGGGCTTCCCAGTACAAAAAAGACATGGATCTCCTGGAGAGAGTCCAGCAAAGCACCACAAAGATGATAAAAGGCCTGGAGCATCTCCCAGATAGGGGTCTGGTCAGCCTTGAGAAAAGAAAACAGAGGGGATCTGATCAGTGTCTATAAATATCTAAGGTGAGGGAGGCAAAGGGACGTGGCCAATCTCTTTTCAGTGGTGTGTGGTAATAGGAAAAGGGGAAGCGGCCACAAACTGAAGCATAGGAAGCTCCACACAAATGCGCATAAGAACTTCTTCATGGTAAGGGTGACAGACACCGAAACAGGCTGCCAAGGGGTTGTGGACTGTTGCACATTTTAATCCATCCATGCATTTGAATAAGGCAGTCAAAGTACCTGAAGTCTGGAGCAATTCCTGTGAGCCAAAGTTCTAATGAAACTAGGTGTCTTGCTTCTTCTTTTTTTTTTTTTTCCTTCGTTCTTTTTTAATTGAGCAGATCAACTTTGAAAGGACTAAACAGCAGAGGAACAGGTGGCTATACTAACTTAGTCTCAGATTTTTATGAAAATTTTGCTTTACGTGTGTTGTCATGTATGCTGTCATTGTAATTCAGTTGCATGCATCAACAGAGACCTTTCTTTCCCTGTCTTTGCCTCAATTGATGAGATTTTTTTCTTCCAGGCTGAAACTCTGTGGGCATGGCCTTGGATACAAGGAGTTTTTTCTCCTCTGGAAAATTTGGGCAAAGGTAGCACCAACTGGTTGCTATCCTGAACAATAAAGCTGTATAGATCAATTGCAGGATCAAGATGTGGACAAAATGGCTGAGAAAAGGAAGAAATTTATCTCTTTGTCATGGCAGAATATGGTGGGTAAGACATTTTCACTTGACTCTGCAGTCATAGTTTATTATTTTCATTATGACTTATGCAAAGAGATGTACAGAGCAGAGCCTAGTTTTCTTGTCATTTGTAACTTCCATATATATGATTTTTTTTTCTTTATGAAAAGTCAGATACAAGTGTGGGTCTCCTCAGAAGAGTTCATTTGACTGGTTTTACATAGTGCTATGTATTTGCAGCAATTCTGTGTTGGAAACAAGATAAGTTAAAAATTGAAGTATTTAGAAAGAAACAGAATTTATAGAGAAATAGATTCTGAAGAATAGTTCTTCAGAACATGGAAAAATATTACTTTTGGATAGTTTCCATGTCCACTCTTCGGGGCAAAAAACTGCTTGGGAAAGAATTTGAGGAAGAACGATAAAGTAAAGTAACACAGTAATAAACAGAACTTTTGAAGAGCTGATCATGAAAAAGTTATAAAGACAATACCTGGTCATTACTGAAGTCCATTCAGTCCTAATTTCTCTTTAACCTGTTTCCATTAAAGCATTGTCATCTTCTTTAAAATTTAAGTATAGAAAATTTAAGGATTATTGTCCATTACAATTTGTGAAGAAAGTTTTTGTACAAACACACGTGAACTCCCTCTAGCGATTTGGAGCCTAGTGTGTTTCTTGTTATGTTCAGCATTCTTTTGAGGGACGACACCCCTCCTTATGAGCTAAGCAAGAAATGACGTGCCTGGTAATTAGAGCAGAAATTTGCAGCGAGGAGGTAGGGAAAAGAAAGGGAAGAAGGAAAGCAGGCACTGCAAGAAGCAGTGAGTATGACTCAATGTGTGGCATGCTCCTGAGTCAAATTTGTGAAGAAAGACACAGCAGCTGGAAGTGTCATCTTTAGCTGGTGATAGCTGGTGAAGATTTTTAACAGGACAGGATTATCTAGATTGTTCTTCAATTTGAATGACTGCGTTTTTGCTTTTATAGTCTTGTAAAAAAAATAGGTATCTGCAGCAGGTAGCTGTGTGGAAACTTGTAAAAATGGAACTAGCAAAAGTGTTGATAAATTATTATGAAGTAGTATAGAATACATCATAGATTTGCTTTATTGATCCATACGGCACAAATATTTTGAAGACTGGATGCCATTTCTAGTCTCCCTTCCTCCTCTCAGACAAGCTGTGGTGTACCTGGAGAACTGGAAATAGTTGAGGTGGGGAAGGAGTTCTGGTGGTCACCTCATCCAACCTCTGCTTCAGCTAGGCTACCCACATTAGAGCGCCTAGGCCTACATCCAGGTGGCTTCTGGAGATCTCCAGGGAGATACAGAAGAGAATGGTAAAGATGACCAGAAGTGTGAAATCAGGTTCCATCTAAGGGTCAGTTAAAGAGACTGAGATGAGCCCAGGGAAACAAGAACTGGGGAGAAGCTTACTGGAGATGTACAAAATCCCAAGTGTGTGACATGCACAATAGGAAATATTCACTCATATTTTTTTCTTCATTCTTCTAGTACAATCAATGGGGGCTGTCAGGTGAGATGAGCAGGTAACATGCTCAAAATAAGCAAAGGCTATTCCTGTGCTTTCTGTGTCAGTATATGAACTTCAGGGCTCTTTGCCAAAGGATGTTTCTGAGCTCAGAGGGTGTTACACTACATTCTTGGGAAAGAATCTACTGAGGGCTACCAGCTATTGAGAAACTAACTGCAATGTCATAAATTGATGAAGTGAGGGAGACTGAGAGGAATGTCTGTATTCTCATTCTTTTGCACTTTTGTTCTCAAGTCATCTGCTATTGACCACAACTTGACACAGAATGCTGCTTTAAGAGGGGGCTTTGATCTTGCTGGTACAGATGTTCTTACATATACTTCCCCTTTATGTTCACTCAGAAGTTAGCTTTTCAGTTCTAAGAAAATACATGTTTTGTAGTGGGATGGCTCTGTAATTGTTGCTTTTTAATCCTGGAGGTGATTGTGTTTTCCTGTAAGGCAGATAGTTCCTTTTACTATGCTACACCATGTAACTCATGTTGAAAACCTAGTGTAAGAAAAGTACAGTTTATAAAAGACACCAAATTGGTAGTAGAAACTGTAATGCACGTGTGGATTTTCATCTGTGGAAGTTTATCTTGGAAAGCACTAATTTAAGAGTTTCTTTCCTTTTCTGTAGGGAAACATGACAGCAAAAATACTTTCCTGTAAGATCACAACAGCATTTCTTTCTTTAATTATTGCAGGTGAGTTAATTGGTGACTACAGAATGTCTTATTCTGAAATTTAATTTTTCACACAAGTAATACTGTTTTGTTGTTTGTTTGTTTGTTTTTTGTACAAACGGTTGTGCATGTCAGTGAGGTTTTTTAAATAGTTCTGAAAGCAGAAGCCTATAAAACATGTAAAATGTGACATTATGTGTAGCAACTACATAACACTTAAGTTGGAAGACACCTCTTGAGAACATTTAATTCAACCTAATTGCTCAAAGAACAATGACCACAGAGCTGTTCAGGGCCATGAGCATCTCCACAGTGTTTGATCAACCTCTCTGTTTAAAAAAAAGAAAAAAAAAAAAAAAAAAAAATTTCTCGTGTTCAGATGGAATCTCACAATGTAAGCCCCTTGTATCTTGTCCTGTCAGGGGGCACTGCTGTGAAGGATCTGGCTCCCTCATCTTCATTCTCTTTCATCAGAGGTATACATTTGCACATTGATAAGGATCTGTCCCACTACTGATCATCTTCTCCAGGCTGAACAGTTCCAGCTCTCTCAGCCTGCCTTTGTCTGCCAGAGTTCCACTCTCCTAATAATCTGGGTGGCCCTGAGCTGCATTCACTCCAGTAAAGCCATGTCTTATGCTAGGAAGTCCCACTCCAGATTTGTCTCACCAGTGCTGAATGAAGGAAGATTGGTCTCCTTCATCCTGTGGATGATGCTCTTCCTAATGCAGCTCAGGACACCTTTAAGCCACCTTTACTGTAATGGAGTGTTGCTGGCTTATGGTCAGCTGCTTTCCTGGGTAGTCTCCAGTGTGTGCTGGTGCCTGGGGGATTTCTCCTCCTATGCAAAACTTTGCATTTCCCTTTGTTGAACTGCCATGAGGTTTCTCTGAGCCCATATCTCCAGCCTGTTGAGATTCCTCTGAATGACAATGTAACCTTCTGGTGTATGAACTGATTAAAGGAATTGTAATTCTAATCTTCTTAGAATCATAGAATGGTTTGAGTTGAAAAAGACCTTTAAGATCATCTAGTTTCAACCCCCTGCTATAGGCATTGACACCTCAGACCAGGTTGCTCAAAGCCCCATCCAGCCTGGCCTTGAATACTTTCAGGGAGTGGGCATCCACAACCTCACTGGAGAACCTATTCCACTGTCTCACCACCCTCACAGTAAAGAATTCCTTCCTAATATCTAGTTTAAATCTACTCTCTTCCAATTTAAAACCATTTCCCTTCATCCTGTTGCTACATGTCATTGTAAAAAGTCCCTCCCCAGCTTTTCTGTCAGCCCCCTTCAGGTACTGATAGAAGTACTTGAGGAGAATGGTACTTCGACACGTATGAACACTCTCTGGAAGCATTAGCTCTATCTTCACTGATGGTGAAAAGAAAAAGAAAACCAGAATTCTTGGGAAAGAGTAGAAAGTGAAGCTTTTTTATGCTACAGGATAACACCATAGTTAATGTGCAGCAATTAAACTACAATTCTGATTATTCCATCTCAGAAAGATTATGTTAAGAGAAAGTAAAGAGATGAGTGACAATATTCTTTGAAGTGGATGGCCTCTGTATGAGATGTCATTAAATAAATGAAGAGTCTGAGGTAAAGATGTGGTATCTGATAGAGGTCTGAAAAATAATTAATACTACAGAGAAGGCAAATAAGGGAATATTTAGGTTGCCATTTCTCATAACAAGAAATGCATGATTTCCAGTGAAATGTTAGAAGGCAAGAATTTTGGGCTGCACAAAAACTTTGATGGCCATGTCTGGCTGTTCTTCTATTGTAATGAAATGAGAGTACTGACTCTGGAATGTGATCAGTATATCCACAGTTGGTGCCTATTTTCATTGTACTGACAAAATCTCCTGGTGTTGCTTTTTCCCTTGTAAATCTTCCTGGATTCAGGGAAAGAAAATGAGTTCATTGGTAAGCATTTGAATAATTTCTCATGAAGCAAGGGGTGAGTTGAAATTTTCTTTGCAAGTTTAATATTTGCAGCCTTTCAGTACCTAAAGGGAGCCTACAGAAGGGAGGGGAATCAACTCCTTGAAAGGGTTGATATGTGTAGGACGAGGGGAAATGGTTTTAAGTTGAGGGAGGGAAGATTTAGGTTGGACATCAGGGGGAAATTCTTTACCCAGAGAGTGGAGGTACTGGAACAGGCTGCCCAGAGAGGTTGTAGATGCCCCGTCCCTGGAGGTGTTCAAGGCCAGGTTGGATGAGGCCCTGGGCAGCCTGGTTGAGCATTAAACGTGGAGGTTGGTGGCCCTGCATGTGGCAGGGGGGTTGGAGATTCATGATCCTTGAGGTCCCTTCCAACCCTGGCCATTCTGTGATTTGTGCAACTAGAACTTTAACTTTCTGTGTCCCCTTAGGATATCTGAGTACTGCAGGATTTACTTCAACTATAGATAAGTGAAAGTAATAAATAAAGACACTGAATGTGAAATTTGTGCATCCACGTGTATGTGTTCTTGGAACAGCCTGGAGAAATACGAGTACTCTAATCATATGCAGCTGAAATAAAGCAGACAAATGATAGTCTATGCAAACAAAGAGATCCTGTTGAGTGTAAAGTTTATATTCAGAAAATAGCATTTCATTTCAATGGCATAACTATATCAGTATATTATTCAATAATGCTTTGAACTCTGAAGACACAAGGTTGAGACAGTATTGTTAGATGACTTAAGAATGAAGGTGGAAACTCAATACACTTTGTAAGTATGATCAAGAAGCAAGTTCAGTGTTTTGTTTCACATTGTTTGAGATTTTCTTTAATGTTTATCTCTTTCCTTTAGAGAAATGCGGAGCTTATGATGTGATGTTCAAGCATAGTCTTGTGCCTGATGGGCAGCCTCTTGTTATTAAATGTTCACTGGAAAAGAGCTTCAATTTTAAAAGTGGAGACTGCAACTTAACATGGTATAAAGTTGGTAACCAAACTGCAGTGCCTAGAGACAAACTTTCTAGAATTCATCAGCAGAAGAGTTTAATTTGGTTTCTCCCTGCAATATTAGAAGATTCTGGAAATTATGAATGTGTCATAAGGTGAAGGTTAAAAAAATTACATTGCTATAGAAATGTGTTGCAAAGAGAATAACTTTTAGAAAGAAAACAGGGTTTGGGGGCAAGAGAAATGCTATTTGAGAGAGTATGTTCACTAAAACTGACTTTATGTTGGGGAATGGAAGTGCTTTTTTTTTTTTCTCTACTTGGTAAAACTTGTAAAAGGATTTGTACAGTTCTGGTCCTCTCTTTCTTCTCCTAAAAGAATACTGTGTATTTTCAAGTTGGAAAATATGTCAAGTATCTAATTTAATTTAATTATATTAGTTGCAGGAATTTGACAAGCTGCAGCAAAATGTCTACAGAAGTAACAGTTTTTGAGAGGACCAATGGCTTATGCTTAAATGAAAAATTTGCTGTAGAGGAGGTGGTATTCACTTCATCATCTGCAAAGCTTGTGTGTCCACACTTGGATCACTTCAGGAATGAGGAAAATATTCTACCTGTTCATTGGTATAAGGTAAAAACAGCCAGTTTTATCATAGAATGGCCTGGGTTGAAAAGGACCACAATGATCATTTAATTTCAACCTCCCTGCTATGTGCAGGGTCGCCAACCACCAGACCAGGCTGCTCAGAGCCACATCCAGCCTGGCCTTGAATGCCTCCAGGGATGGGACATCCACAGCCTCCTTGGGCAACCTGTTCCAGTGATTAGAACTATCACAGTGGTCAGTTATTTAAAATACAAATAACTGATGTTTATGAGTTGTAGTAGAAAAATTACAGATTTATTATAAATGTTAAAAAAAAAAGAACTTTTAAAAAAATTGGATGAGGGAATTAAGGCATTTCACCTTGTAAAGGTGTATACAGTTTTTTTTTTTTGAGTAACAGAGTAGAAATTCAGTTTAAATGTAGGAAATGTTAACCCATATATATCCACTAGATGGCACCTTTATACGTGCTAGCAAAACATCCATTTCTTTTGTTTGGAAACGGATTTAGTATGTAATTTGTGAGGGACAGCATATCCACTGTGCATTCAGTATTGCTCCATCAAATAAATGTTATTTCATGTGGTTCGTAAGTATTTAAAGTCTTGTTCTGTTAAGAATGTATTGCCTTCCTGTGCTTGTGCAGTCCATAAGGTACTGTATTTAAGTACTTGAAAAAAAAGTTTAATTATTGAGTAATTCTTTATCAATTAATACTTTTAAAATCCTGGCCCTTATATCACATTTCCTTACATCTCTCATTTTTTTTTTTTTTTTTTTCTGTAGGAAATGTATAGGTATATCTGTGAATTAAAAACTCAGAGCCAAAACAAAGCGTGCTTTCCTTTTGATTCCAGCCCTCTTCCTCTTCCTTCCACTCCACAAGGCATCCATCCCTATGTTGTGGTCCACTGAAAGTTTGGTATGTTCAAGAGAGACAAACTATGGAAAGTGACATGCATTAACGGAGTTCTTTGTATGTTTAGGACTGTCGGCTACTGGAGGGAAAAAGATTTGCCTTCTTAAACAGCGACCTTGTGATTTTCAATGTGACTGTGCAAGATCAAGGAAACTATACATGCAAAACAACATATACCTATAATGGAAAGCAATATGACATTGCACGAGACATAAGACTGATTGTAGAAGGTAAGTAGATAAATTCACTGTGACTCTCCAAAATTTTGTCCAGGTTTCTAATTGCAGCTAAAAATTCAATTTGTGTATAGGTAAGCTGTAGGCTATTGCTTTGCCCCTTACTTAGATGAAAAGAAATGCTTGCTGAAGTTTTTCTGTTGTTACTGTGTTGGTGATTGAACATGGGATCAGAATTGCAGTACATCAATGCTTTGGTTAATGGGCCAGCCGCTGAGGTCCCTAAATAGGTCCCATTACACCTGCTCTATCCTGCCCATCTTACTTCTCTCTCTTTTACATCATCCCCTTACCACAAGAGCAACCAGTTAAACCAAGACAAACTGTAGTGATATCTTGGTTTAATGTGTTCTATTTCCTTCATTTTTTGTACAGTTTTTTACATTCCCACTGAAACACATTTTTAGGTCTACTCATCTATTGCATTCCCATCTGATGCTCTGGTTTTTGTGTGTGCATGTTTTCTCTGTATGTATATGTATGTTTACATATATATGTATCTATATTTATGTGTTGTGAATATGTGATATAAATGTCATGTTTATATGATGTGAATAAACAAAATATGAGGAATAGATAGCCAGAAGTGACTGACTTATGGCTGGCTGTTTTTTAAAACCTGCCCTTTAGACTTCTCTCTCAGTGTAGTTTCAGCTTCAGCAGCTCACTAAAGCAGTCATATAACTCAAACATATAATTTTGCTGTTAATGCCTGAAAGCATCTCAGTTGCTCAAAGACTTCAGCTGAGCAAGTTTGCACTAAAATGGGTGATTTGTGGTCCAACCAATAACACAGACACAGTTATAAGAGGAGGAAGGGAGGGATGTATCTGTGGCAGGGAAGGGTGTCATCTGTGGCAATCTGTGTTTCACATCAGGATGCTTTATGACTTTCTTGTTGATGTGTGTGCATAGAGAAGTTTCCTTGAGCTTTCAATATCTGATAAGAAATATTCCAGAATGTCCTATACGTATCTGACAGAGCTTCTACTCAGAAGTAACAAGACTATGTTCAAAACTCTTGATTTGAATATCAAATGATGCTGTAGTAAAATTGCTGACAACCCTGTCTGTAGGGCAAGATGTGTTTAGGTTGCCCTTGGGTTGTGCAGCATTAACAGGGTGCAATCACCCCTGCTTTTCTGAAAATAACTTTCTTTCTTTTGATTAGTGAGCCCACCAAAAATGCCCCCAGAAATATCTTATCCACAGAACAACTCAATTGAAGTGGAACTTGGTAAGTACTTTTCACTATAAGAAAATATTATTTTGTATCCTAGTGAAAATTCTTGCTCAAGAAGAGTGCCACATTGTGTGTTTGTTTTCTCTGGGCAAAAACTAGTTCAGTGACCAGCTCAGTTTCTCCTTTACATTACTTTCTCAAAGGAAGATTGTTTCATGGTGGGAAGGAAGGAGGCAAGGAGTATTCCTTCCAAAGTTGCAGAAAAACTTCAGGGAAAAGTGACTCTGTAGAGGGAGATGCTGTGTCCCTGATTTGGCTTCTGTAATATCAGTCTCTTTGAACGTGCAGATTACTGAATGGATAGACACTCTGTTAGAGGAACTTTTCTGAAAGGCGGTGGGACCGTCCTGTGGTCTGAGTGGGGGTCTATAAACAGAATTGCATAGCTTTTAATTAGAGCATGAAAATTAACTTTTCACTTTGTAACACAATTTTATAGGTTCACTGGTCACAGTGGATTGCAATACAACTGGTGCTGATGGGTTTGAGGTGTTTTGGACAGGCAACGGTGTGTATATTGATGTGTTTTATGTGAGCAGAATTTTTGCAAAGCCCAATAAGTAAGTACATTTTCAGATTAGAAAATACTGGGTTGGCAACAAAAGTGGAAATTTCTCCCTCTGACTCATGTCAATGCTTGCCTCTACCAATTCATTTTCTTTTTGAAATAGAAACTTGAAACATAGTAGGTGCATGGATGCATGAAATTGGGCTTCTTAGAGTCATTATAAAAATCTATCTAAATTTCCAGCCATGGAAAAAGGTATTCTGTAGAGGCTTATGGTCTCATAACTATAATACTGTTTCTACTGAGCAAGCTCTAGACTGGCAGAGACTTCTTTCAAGTTAGACTGAACATGGTTCAGACTGTCTCCTGTGTTCTCGTTTTTTTTCCCAGCTGCCTGTCTGGGAGGCTGTAAGAGGTGGAACCTGTGCTTTGCAGGAGAACTTTAGACTTCTAGTTTTAAGAGCCTTGAGATAGGGAAGTGTAACTGAGATTAGATGGAGAGCTAATAGAAGACTTTGTTGAGGACATTTGTACTGAAGCTTAATGGATTGAGAGAAGAAAAGGATGAGATATTTCCAGTGATGGGTTGGGATTTAGGAGGAAGACTTGGAGGACATGAACTGCATAAAGCAACTGGGAGATAATGTGAGGACGAAAGGTAGTTTAAGCAGAGCTAGGAGGGAAAGAAATTAGACTTGACTTAGAAAAGACAATTTACAGTTGGAGCAGAAGGCAATCTGAAAAGGTATCAGTGGTTGGGAACCAAGGAACTGAAAACTATAGCTTTCGTCAGCCCTTGTCTCCTGGTGATACTATGAAGGAAAAACATGAGCACTTTATAAAAGTTTTCAAGCAGCATCTATGAGGGAGCAATGTGAATGGTATCTTCAACGTAAGATTATGGTTCGTAGAAATAAATAAGTCCTCATCATAAAACAAAAGGGGAAATAAAATGCTGAATTCTTTTAATGCTCGCTGAGAGAAAACCCTATACAAAAGTCATATATTGTAATGTTATAAACAATTGGGCTATTATGCAGAGGCACGCAGTCACTGATGGTATCATAAAAACAATGGTTTTTTTTTTTTTTTTTTTTTTTTTTTTTTTTTTTTTTTTTTGTATTTCCTAGCACTTAAATGATTGTCTTACAATATTATCATAATTGTATTAGTACTTAAAATATTGTCTTACTGTATTTGTAGCCATAATATTTTCTGGGTCTAGTCATTTGTATTAACGATGTTGATTCATTTACTCCCTATTCTAGTGTTCAAACTACTATGACCTAGAATCAGAGAACCATAGAACCACAAGGTTGGACAGGACCTACAAGATCATCTAGTCCAACCATCCTCCCATTACCGTGGCTACCACAAGCCACTAAATCATATCTTGTAGCTCCTTGTGATACAACAGGTCACAACGTGTGACCTGTTGCTCACACATTGTTTTGTGTGATCTTATACATGCTCTATATATGCTCTTTATGATTTATTTCAAACTTTTACTTTGCATTTTTAATGGTAATTAGAGTACATTTTTGGAGAAGAAAAGCATTTGGCTAAGTAGACTAGTTAGTTAATTTTGCATATGAGCTGTACTGTTAATGAGGTAGTAACATCCCTCGTTTGGTGCTGGTTAAAAAGTCACGTATTTTGCACATCAGACATGAGACACAGTGCAGATTACTCAGTGAATGTGCAGCAAAATTAGCATTTTTTTCTGCCCCTGTACTGGGGCTTCTTTTTTTAAGCATTTCAGATTGTGGAACTTCTCTTCCACCAAGCACTGGGATGCTCCACCTACTTTTACAGATGCTGAGAACCCCCTGCAAGACGGGTTTGCATATCTCTGTAAGATACATTTTTTGTACTGTAGCCCATAGAGACCATTGGGTTTCCCTCACATAACGCAATTATTCATGTGTTCTGAAGTGTGATTGGTATTTGCAGATGGAAATGACCATTGTCATGTTGCACCTGTTAGTGATGAAACCTTTATAGAAAGGAGTGGTTTTATGGCTCTGTTTGTCACTTTTTGGATAGCGAGGAAACTGCTTACGATGGACGCCCTATGTATTCTGTGAAGCTCATAATTTCAGAAGTGCGTAGTGAAGATTATGAACAACCATTCATCTGTCAAGCTTCAAATGCCTTTGGACAGGTTGCATCCTATATTATATTAAAACACAGAGGTAAGGAATAACGCTGTTTTTTCTGGCTTGTGGTTGACTTGGCATTTGTAGAAGTATTGTGGTCTTGGTTCCAAATGCTCGTATATCACATCAATAGAAGGTGCATGGATTACACTTTCCTGTATTTAAACATGTAGATGTGTGGAGGGGAAGAGTCACTGTAGTAGTGTATTTCTCTATTAAAATAATAGTGAGGTGGAAGTGAAAAATGTGATACTCAAATGTATATTACATTTGTGTGAAAGGTCAGATTTGGACAAATCCAACATTTTCTTTCTACTCTTACCATATTTTGTGCAGTTCCTGATGTACAAAGATGGCTGACTGGAGTGTTTGTCTCTTTCTTACTGTTAACGTTCATTATTCTGATCATCTATAAGATTTTCAAGATCGACTTGGTGCTTTGGTATCGTAATTCTGGATGTGCCTTTGTAAGTAAGGAAGGTATGTGCATGTAATCAATGCATGTCAGTATAACTAGCCTATTGCTTTTTATTTCTTTTTTTTTTTTCCATTTGCTATTACTCCCAAACAATGATATTATTATTTAATGGAATGTATTTGGAATTTCTTTGAGAAGTTTCAGATACGTATGGAAAGATCTTTTCATTCACATAGGTGAAATACGTAATCCTAACGCATAATATTTAAGGCACTTAAGGTGAGAAAAGGTCAAAAAGAACCACCTATTTCTTCCAAAGAAAGTTGTTTGCGTGTAGATTTATGGCCACACTGATGGTGGTCAATAGGTGTCAGCAGAGCTACATCCTGTAGACTAGCTGTAGAAAAATGCACATTAGATATTTACATTGAAAATGAAACTTTCATTTGCCGAGGTGTTTTTTTTCCTCTTTCAACTTTTCTCTTTTACACATAACTTTAAATATAAATCCAGCATCTTGGATGGTTACATTCTACTAGTTTTCTATTCTGTGATACTTTTAATGTTTTTCTACTGTAGCAGTTGTACTGCTACATTGGATAGGTGTGAATAATGGAAATAAGTGCAACATAATATGTATTGTGCTTGAGCAGCCCTCAGAATTAGACTGTTTCAAATTCCCAAGAGCTCAAAAGTGAACGGATTATGTGTGTTGATATAGTTAACATTTATTCATGGCAGTTTGAAATATTTTCACATGAAAGTCATTTCAACTTTCAACAAAGTACCAGTTTTCCTGGAAAACTTACTCTATTTTTCTAATGAAAAATAGATCAAAGAAATGATGTTTCATCATTTGTCACAAACTTAACTTACTAAGTTTGGCTCTGGGCAGCCTGGTCCAGTGGTTGTTGACCCTGCCCACAGCGGGGGGATTGAAACTAGATGGTCTTTGAGGTCCTTTTCAACCCAGGCCATTCTGTGACTATGAATGTGTTGGTTCCTCTCAGTTTGGGGGCTCCTTTCTGCAGCCGCCAGGGTCCTACATCCAGCTCTCTTGCTGGCACATTACTCCCCATGATGGGAAAAGAGATCAGGTTCTGTGGCTCATCTTCTTTCTTTTAATCTGTAGAGCATTTTAGTGCTTTGCTGTTACTCTGCCAGACAGCTATGAATCAACTATTATAACATCAGAAGAGGGGTGGCCAGCAGGGACAGGGAGGTGATTGTCGCCCTCTACTCTGCTCTTGTGAGGCCCCATCTGCAGTACTGTGCCCAGGTCTGGGGCCCCCAGTACGAGAAAGACAGGGAGCTGTTGGAGAGGGTCCAGAGGAGAGCCACAAAAATGGTCAGAGGACTGGAGCACCTCCCCTACAAAGACAGGCTGAAGGAGCTGGGCTTGTTCAGCCTGGAGAACAGAAGGCTGTGAGTTGACCTCATTGCAGCCTTTCAGTACCTCAAGGGAGCCTACAAACAGGAGGGGAATCAACTCCTTGAAAGGGTAGA